AGAGTGTTGAAGCTTTATCAATTAGTTAGTCATTATTCTCACTTATTTTTTCTTTCTCTTCAACTGCCTTTATAATATTTGGAAGTAAAGAAGCGGTGAGAATCGAAACTGAAAAATCCATAAGGACCATTCCGATAAACATTCTTGCAAGAGAATATCTATAAATTTGTGTAATTTAGATAAATTAAATTACTGAGTTGTCCACAAAATGTTAGAAGTTCCTTGAAGATATAGTGATAGGGCGCTTGTTATGAAAGATGCTTAAATTAGATAAAAATTTTCTATCTTATCAACCATAATTCCGCAAATGATGTTAAAAATGAAATATAACAATCCAGAAATTCCCATAATCTACCCTAAATTTCTTTAATAAAATAGTTACCTGTTAATGATGGTGAGACACCTATTTTTACTAATTAATTTGTAATCAGTATTTAATTGAAAATCATAACTACTCCTCCAATAATTGAAAAAAACAAAGAATTCAAGACTTTAATATTCGATAATATCTTGCCATAAGAAACCTCCTATGCAATATGAGTATCCATACTATTGTTAGCTTTATCTTCTTGAAACTTGTTGACCCTTCTTGGTATTAAAAATGCAGTTAAGGTAACGGGTAAAATAAGGAGTATTCCAGACCCAAAGAAAATAAACGGATAGCTCATTAAAACTGAAAATGCTTATCCTAATGGTGCTCCCATTATCAATCCTAATCCCATTCCTGCTTCTAAGTATCCTATTGCTTCTCCTCTATTTTAATTAAACTCAGATGATACAATAGCATAACCTGTAAATAAATTAAATACTCATCATTTGATAATGATTAACATAAATAGCTCACGGATATAGTTTGCTTAAAAGAATAAAATAGCTTACAAGTAACATAAATATGACCATCAGCAAATCCTTGATAAAATCTAAATAGCATAGTGACTATATAGAAAATAAAACTAAATTATATGATAAATTAACAATTTTACTCATCCTAAATGTAGGAACTAAAACCAAGTCCGATCAAAGCTAGAAAACTCTAAGAAAGCGCTAATAATATTGTATTTTTCCTTCCAATTAAAGCTATTGTTTATGTTACAAATAAATAGGAGAATAAGCATCCAACCTCAAAAATTCTATAACATTTAACATTGATATTGATACTTACGCTATTAATAGTCCTGCTTTGAAGTCAGTTATCAAAGGATGATTTTTATTTTTAAATGGTATTAAAAAGGCACTAATGCATCCATATTATCCTACTGCTATGAAGGTAGATATTATA